ACAGTTACAAAGATTAACACTTGCATAGCAATTAAATATGGTTTGTGCTTACTATTACTGTTTATATTTCTCCATAATTAAATTCATATTGCAAATTATCATATCACCTTTAAAACATCTATCAAAAAGAAAAATGACAGGCCAGGTGTGTCTGAACTTCTTGGAACACAATCATCTGATGAAACATCTGCTGGGATTAAGTGTGGAGCTTTAAAAAACAAACAAACAAAAAGAGCAAAAAAACCCAACCACTTGTCCCTGAAGCTGATCCTATACTCTTGAAAGACTTTGTGGCCTTTCATTTTCTTTGCATGAACTATTAAAGACAAAACAAAAAGCATGGCAGGTGCTTTTTTCTATCACATCACACCATGCTCATCCAAATTTCAGATTATTGATACTGAGGCTTGCAGAAAGAGAACTGTACAAACAACGTGGCAAAATGGAAGCACTATTAGCCTGATCAATCTAATACAATTGCTCAAAGCAAGTTTTTTTTTGCTCTCCCAAAAATGATGTTTCCCTTTTTTAAAAAAACAATTATTGCCTACAATGCTTTTAAGGCAATGTTTCTACATGATATTCAGAGTATCACTATTTTTAGACTGTACTTCCATAAAAACTGTTTATAGAGTTTCAGTTCTCTGTTAAATTAGGATACATACCCTCTTCCAATTCTCCTCCAAGCATAAACCTCGTCTAAACCTGGTTCTGATTCAAAGAGTGCCTATGAGCAGACCTAAAACATGCACAGAACTCTTTGCTATTCACGGTTTCAGACAAGGGAAGCCAGTTTACAATAACCACAGAATTTTTCTTGCTTGCAGTTTGCTATCACCACATGCTTTATTTATAGTAGGCCTGAAATAAATACCGCTGGATCAGGCATCCTTTGGAAATAAAAACTATTTAATATTTACAATAAATTTCTTGTAGCTTTGCCTCTGGATCTTTCCCTTTCAGTAGAGGAACGGATTATTTAGCTCTTGATTTTCCAGCAAAAGACTGACTGGAAGTGAATGGCAGCACCACTGGGGCGCTGTGCCCATATGCAGCAGCGCAGAAAGCTTGTACCTCCCCTGCTCTTCTCCAGCAGCGTAGGGTGACGCCGAGGCGGGCGACTTACAGAGTGACACAGGAATGTTTAGGGCAGCAGAATGAGGTGCTCTCATGTTACAGCACTTTCCAAAACTAAACTGGTACATTTGGTGAATCTTTTCCAAGGAGGCTGATCGGATTCCTCATGTTAAGATCAAATGAATGTTGAGGATGCTCCAACGTTATGTGCTGACAAATAATACTGCACTCTCCTGCATTACATTTACTGTGAATTAAAAAAAGAAACCGTTCTGTATCAAAAATAGATTTTTCCATGCATTTCATTTTTCCCCTGTGAACTATGTACTGTAGGACAATAAGCTGATAACAAGTCTCTATGGGACCGACAGGCAGCTAAAGATGAACTCTGGCCCTCAGCTAAAATGACTGGGGGCAGCTATGTAGCTCAAGTAACTTATTAGAAACCAATACTGAAAGTAACTGAAAACTAAACTCCAACAACCGAACTCCACAATGATTAAAATCAAAGCAGTGTCTTTTTCTACTACAACCCAGGACATTACGCAGTATGATCGCAGTCTTCTATACCACGGTCCTATGGAACTGGGATGTCTAGTGTAATGGAGGTACCTAAGGGAATAGCTGCATCTGTCCAGGTCCATAATGGTTTAGAACATCAACATTACTGTTTGCCTCAATAGCGACACACCATGTAGAGTTCTGCTGGGTACTAGTGTACACTGCAAAAGACTTATTTTTTCCCCTTTTCACCTCATTGTTCTCTCTTCCACAGCAAAGAAACTTGACTAGCTAGATACATTCTTTGGTCTCTTAAATTGAATTAAGTGGAGCTGGTCTGGAGGGTCCCATACCTTTCCGCACCACTGGAGTGCAGGCCTTTTTTCTCTAGCGATGTCCCAAGCACCTCAACTCCCTGCCCCCTGGTCTGCCTGCATCTGCTACCTTTCCCATAGCAGCCCAGGGAAGCACGCCACAGGCTGTGGAGAATTAGGCAGCCAGCAACTGAAAATGAGCGGCCAGAAAACACAGTGTTTCATTCAGAAAGGCCAGACAAGCCAAGTTCTTGCTGCCTGATGCTTCTAGTATATTTGGTGAGATCCCCAAAAGGGAGATTTGCAGAGTTTTATGTAGAGTCATAGTAAGGATGATGTGTTAAGAGGCAAATTTAACAGAGTTTAGGAAAGGAAGTAGTCAGAAATCACAGAACATAAATAAATTCCTTACTCCATAACAGGTTATGTACAAGAGTGAAACATGGAGAACTCAATTCAGTCTAGCACTGGCACCCTAAGTGTTCATTGAAGAGCTGTGTTAAATGTGCACTGAAAAGCACAGATTGATGGCACTTGAGGGAAACCCAATTTTGTACAGTCAGAGAAGCAGAGCCTCTCACTGATTTAGGTAGGTGCATTCTTAATGCTTCCCTTCTGTCTGCAGACATTTCATGCCTGCAATTTGTTGCCCTGTACAAGTGCTGTCTCCATGTACAGATTTTGACAGCCACAAAAAAGTCCCCATCCTGAAAAAGAAACCCCACAGGGAATTTAGTGTGATAATAAGAGTGAGCAGCAGCAAGCTTCATCTGAAGTGTCAGGTTATAAACAGTGCTCATGAAACCTTCAAGGCCAATATCAATTAAAGGAAATGCCATCACTCCCAAGAGCCAAGAACTATCAGAAAAACACAAAGCTTTCTATTTCAGACCATGTATGTCTGAATTTCACATTCCACTGCTGCTCCCTTGGCCATGAGAGCCTGAACAGGCAAGCAAGCTAGTGCTCTGACTGCCAGTGCTGCAACAGCAAAACCAAGTCACAGATCACCCGGCAGGCAATTCCATGACCTTGAGACTCTCCTGAGCCATGAGGCTACCTCACATTGAAGTCCAGAGTCATCAAAATTTCAGGCTTAAGTTTTTACCACCATATCTTGATCTCAATTCCTAATGGACATATACACATGTTCCATCTGAAAGGATTCCCCATGTTTCCAAATTTTTATGTGTATTACATAACTTTGAGTGCCCCCATCTCTATATTTCTTTAAACTCTTGATGGAAATGAGTTTTTCTTTTTTGTAGTACAAGAACATTCCACTCCAGTTTCACCTCTGCAATCCAAGACTAATCAAAGTCATCTCATAGCACAAGCATTTTCCTGCTATCTTATGCCCAGGGCATCTTGCTTTTCTCCTGCTTTGTTCTTATTTGGTTGACAAGTTGGTACTTTTCATTAGTAATTGCTCTCATTTTTCACTCACCTATGCAATCTTTCTAATTGTTTTTTCCCCCCCTTCAAAGTAAAAATCTGTGTAAATTCTCAGCAGGTGACTGCACTGCCACAACCCTTTTGTATGTGGTAAATTCCTTATGGTTTTTTGAGGAGAAATTAATCTAACTTGATGAATATTGCGGAAATGCCCTTTGCCCAAGTCACTGGAATATTGGATCTTAAGTAGGTTTTTATGCAAAGGTCAGTAGGCTGAGCTCCAATGAGCAAAGGGTATAGCTTGCATACTGAATTGCACAGCATGAAAGCCTGCTTAAATCCTCAGAGCACAAGTTTATGAATAGCCCCTTTAAGAACATCTTAGAAACAAGTCTACAATTATAAAATAAAAGTTACTTTTCAGTCTCTGATGTTTGCTTTTTGTATGTGATCGTAGCAAAGCTGAATGAAGACTAATAGTACTCATCAAAAAGCAACAGAAAACAGAGAAGGAGATACTACCAATCTGTATGAAAAGATTACAGCAGGAGTGTCCACGAAATGTCTCAACCTCTTAATAGACACACTACCTGTTAACAGACACACTATTTGACTTATTAAGGCTCAATAATATTTCATATCACTTTATCCTGCTTTTCTTCTTGTCAAGATGCTAAAGTTACTAGTCTATGCAAATATATATTGACCTGTGGAATGCTCCATTCAGGAAGTTTAGGATCAGGCTCTTGCTTGAGACTCTTCAGGCTTTAGGCCAGCGTGTTAAATCATGTTTAACACATTAGAGGCACAAATGCACGAGTTAATAGCAATTGTTTCATGCATTGAAAAATTCCATGTAAAAAGCTTATAAAAGATCTGAGAATTTGAAATAAGTCCCTTTCCAGGAAATATTTCAATATAGCCAGTGTTCTCACAGAAAAGCTGTCAATTTGTCCTACTTTTTGTTAGCCTCTTTCTAATCTGTGCATTTATTTTGAACACTAAAACTTCCACTTATAGACATACTTTCATTTTGAAAGCAACATGGGAAATTCAGCCACACATTTTCCTTTACGATACACTACTCTACCTTGGAGACCTCAGCATAAGACCTTTGTCCCTTAAATGTTAGTCTATTACTTCTACTAATTTGTCTACAGTTTAATTTGTCTACTCTAAAATAAGAACTGTTAGATCCTCAAACCATATGTTCATAATACAACCTAATTATTGCTTTCCATACCTGTCTTTGTCGAGGTTGTGTAAAAATTATTTCCTAAAAACATCCGTTAGTTCACTTCATAATATCATAGAAGTTTAAATATTAATGCAGCTGTTACAGAAAGTCTCTGTGCAAGGTTATCTGACTTGAGAACAAGATTCCTAAAAAGGAAGCACTGTTCAAGAAAGGTAAGAGAACTATTGCATGAAGAGATTCTGCTTTCTTAGCTTCTCTTCCACCTCTGGGAAAGGCTTCCCTTTTCACCTTCTGCTGATTTCCTTTCCTGCACTCAGGCTACACGTTCTCATCATCCTACAAGCTCAAGAAATGCCACTTACACACACACACAGCCCTGCTAGTGCCACACCATTCACAAACTCGCAACATGCTGCAAATGCTTACTTTGTGAATTGACATGTTCTCCCCATGCACTCAAAACACCTGTTATAACATTTTTGGAACAGTCATCCAGACCCAGCAAACCAACATACTTCTGAAGAGTGAGGCTCAGATTGTAGCTGGCTGACTTGATCTTGTTCTGGGCCTCTAGGTGGGTCATGCTGTCAGTGTTGACTCCATCAATGGCTACCACAAGGTCCCCTTGGTTCATCTGCGACTGGGATGCTTTGCTGCCAGGGGTGATCTGCATGGAAAAAGAACACACAGCTCAGCAGGGTAAATCCTTTGGCGTACAAAGTGATTCTAGAGAACTTGTTCAGAATTACAATGGAAGAAATATTTTCTTCACCCACGGCTATTGCTGTTACTAGAGGGACGGAACAACAAAATTTATAGAAATTAAACAAACTTGAAGCTAAGTCAGTTTCACAAAGACCCAGGACAATGTCTGCTTGTCATCAATTCCCTTTTGAGGGGGTCTAGTCACTAGAACAGCATACTGAATAAGTGAAAGACTGTACTTAATGCCCATTAATTTGGAAGGATCTGACTGAAATTACAGTTTTCTATATCTCTTCATTAGAAATAAAAGCAGTAACGGTTATACACTTTTGAGAGAAGAAAAGTCAGATATATTTATTAATGCTCTTACATGAATTAGAACAGACTAATAATGCAGTGCCATCTTCTATTGCACTCTGCTACTGTTATGGAATGGGGAAGAAAAAATATTTCACAGCAGTTTCAGTGATCCAGTTTTGCTCTGCAGTTCTATTAACTTTCACAGGAAGAGGGTAGTAGAAACAAGGTAAATGCTACTTCATATTAGAAACAGTGTTTCCAACTTTTACAAACATAAGCTCCTATGTATTTCAATGACTTGTGCTGTACAAGAAGTACACAAAAAGTTTGTAAGCCTGTAAAAAACACATATGATTGAGTACCCACATGTACTTGCATAGTTACCAAAAAACCCTTCCCTGCTCAGTCTCCCACATATGCCAGCAAAGAGCTTGCAACAAAATAAGAGGTCAGAAAAAAATCAAAATGAGAACAAATGCCAAACTCAGACAAATCAGTCAATAAGACTCAAATTCATCAAGCAGGTTTCTTCTCTTCTTAAACGTGTCCTTTTTCTCTATTAAGCTAAATTGCCTGCTGTTCAGTTAGATACCAACACTTGAGCCTTCCTGACAATGGTTCTTATAAATAATCTTGATAAATTAAGGTAGCACTGATAGTAAAAATCAAATTTAACAGGAGGCACAGAGTTAAGCTTGATAAGTCAACCATTTTTCATACCTCTTAGAAAAGCAGAGATTTGGGGTGGAGGGGGGATACCTGCTGCTTCCCAGACACATGAACTCCCAGCCCTTCCAAATTTACCACCAGTTGGATAACTGGTAGAATATTCCAATATCCCCCATCTAAAGCAAGTGGGCAAGCTGGAAGTATCACATGCTGCTTTCAACGCACTAGAGAGAATTCTTACAACAGTGCATTATGAGGAAAACTGAGTTAATGTATAGTACAATAGTGACAGCTGTGCCCTGAAAAACAAGTCTGCACTGGGAAGGGAGTAAATACCACTTAGCAGGAGCTCTGGGAGGCAACGTACAGAGTGCAGCTGCTGCACCACCTGGAGACAGGAACATGTGTTCCCATGGGAGCCCCTAGCGCCTCTCCAAAGCAGGGCAGAAAGGGCTCAGGCACCTCGAGTGCTCGAGCATTCAAATGCCAATGAGAACGCTGGTATAAGCAGACGGACAGACACCCTCTCTGCCCCCCAAGAATTCCTAATCTACAAGAGAGACAAAATTACACAGGGAAGCCTGCACTACTGCAAGAGCATCAACAAGCAGCTTGCAGCACAAGACACTGATTCTTCGTTTTCCAGGACTTGGGCTACACCTGCTCCCAGCTTGGGATCAGCAAGTTACTTGCCCTTCCCTATTCTCAATTAAGGGAGTGCTTGATCCTCCAAGAGTTTGCTCTAGTACTAGAAACAAAGCATAATAATAGAAATAAAGGGTCACTAGGAAACAAAAAGCACCTACTTCATGGAAGAAGCGGCATTTATATTTCCCTGGGTTATATTTTTGCAACTGGGTTTCGATGCAGATGCTTCCAAAAAATATTTAAAAGGCTTTGCATGTTACAGTGTGAAAAGGATCACTGACAACATTTATGTCATTGTTTCCTAAGCAAGTCACTTCCCATCCCTGTCCCTGCAACAAGCACTTAACAGCTCCAAAATGAAAAATATGCTTTTTTTAAAAAAATGAAGATAATTGTGGACAAGGAAAATAAGTGCAGAAGAAAAGGATTTCCTGGGATAACCCATCAGGCAGAAATTCAACATTTTACCCTACCCATCTCTAGAAGGCATAGAACAGAAGCCAAGGAACAGCGCAGATAAGCTGCAGCCCAGAGCAAGGATCCTGCTTGCAGAGCTTGTCTGTGGCTTTGGCCCAAAGAGCAGAGCAGAGACAGGATTGTAGCTGTGGGAAAATCCTTCCATCAAACCTAGAGAAAACTCCCTTTCTGCAGTTTCCATTTACTGCAGTTTGAAAAAAAAAATACATAAAAGCAAAAAAAAAGACAACAACAACAACAAAAAAAACTGCTGCTGGTTTTTAATTGGATAACAAAAGCTCCCATAAACGAGCACTTGGGGGACCTGTAAAATATGCCCCGACACCTTGAAGAGCTTCCACTTACACTAAGCAGAGCTGAGCTGGCAGGCTGAGAGATACTCTCAAGTGCCCTCTCAGGCTGTGTTTCATCTGTGGCAAGGAAGGGAGATTATACTACATGTGAGCATACCCAAAATAGCTTTAATCTACCTCGCCTGGGTACCAGGAATTATGATGTGACAGCAGCTGAGCGATTTTATGAGATGGTCAGCCAAGTACTTACAATTCAGGACATCCTGTGCTGAAACTAGTCCTGCAACAGCAGAACTCCTATCAGCACTTCAGCTATCTGGCTTACCTTTGGTACACCATGCTGCTCTGTAGTGATTACTTTCCTCTTTATTAATACTGGAGATGTTCTTTTTGCCTAACCTCTCTAACAGTACTGCTACTTGAACACAGTGTATGGACTCTTCAAGGAAGAAGGAAAGCCAGCTCTTCTTGCCAGACAAAAACTGAACATGGTGCGGGGGTTGCTGCTTAGCCTGTCAGAAGCACAACTTCTCTGTGCAGGCCAGTTATCCAGATGACGGACAAAACGTGGATGGTGGGAGCCGCTGGATCTTTTGACGCTGCCCTGAGCTAGCATCGTGTGCTGTGCCAAGACAGCCTATGCTTCATCCTGCAAGAACGCAATGGAAGCGGCGGGCTGAATAGTACAACAGACTTTGGTTGGTGTGTTATGACGACAGTGTGTAAGGAGCAAGTTCTTATGTGGTATGAGAGAGTTTGATATCCTTAATGCAAGTCAAGTTTGAGACTCCAACTGAGATACTGATCCCAAGTGCACTGAAAACCTATCAACTGTCACCTTCCACAGGACAACTCACCACAAAGTCAACTGCACTTGCAAGACCAGAACTGCCAACTTTCTTCAAAGGTTCTCAAGGCTCTCCTTCCTCTTCCCTATTTTTTTTTTTTTAAATTTTGAATTCATTTTAAGGCAATTCTATAAGGCAGAATGTTTCTTTGCATTTCAAGTAGACAGTGAAACCTGAGTAATCGATCTGGCCTTTCAGATTTTCACAGCTTTATAGTATCTTGAATTGTCCATCCTGAGCATTTTTTTGACCTCCTGGTCCAAACCATTTGTCTTGTCTCCCAAGCTGCACAAGCAATAAAATGAGGGTTTTATGTCTTTTGCTGTTGGTCACTCTGAAAAAATAACTTATTTTTCTCTCTCTCTTTTTTTTTAATGTATTCCATTGCATGTAACGACAACTACAGAGCTTTTTAAGTTTGAAGGGGTTTTGATTCAGCAACAATAAGGCCTGAACTAAAAGGGCTTTTGAGACAATACTGAGTGTTTTAGCTTGGCACTTTGTGGCCTACAGCCACTTCTGATATTAAGTACCTCAAAATAGCTTTGACTTTGAGTATGTCCTGACGCTCCAGGCAGATTGAGCTGCTGTGTGACTCTTCTGCTCCTGCATGTCCATAAATTAGTGTGTTTGTTACACTGATGCAAGTTTACAGTTAGGTATTCCTTTAAAATGGGCATTGGTTTAGCAAGTTCTTTTTGTTTCTGGCTATGGGGAGATCAATTCTTCCACTGATCAACATAACACTAGCTGGTCTGACACAGCAGAAAACAGTCCTCTCTAAACCAGAAATCAGTAGTATTTCACCTTCACGCTTTGCCTGCAGGAAGCTACAGTAGTATAGGCACATCTAACAAAAACAAACAAAAAGCCTCCAAACATTTAAAGATTACAGAGTATAATAAAAAAAAAAATGTGGCTCCAGAACAGCCTGCTGTTTACAGACACAAAATGAAAAAGAAAATGAGAGGTTCTGGAATACTGGTACTGCTTGCAGTCAAAGGCTATTTCAGATTCAAAATAAAAATTAATGAAAACGAAAAAAAAAAGTATTACTTATTGAAAAAGATATAGTGATTTTGTTTAATCACTAGTGCAACAAGGGTAGCTCAGCGACTCTAACAGTTTGCCCACTTTCTCTTCTTTGCTCTTAGGAAACCACTATCATGGGTCGCAACATGATTAAACACAAGGTAACCCTGACACAATTGCTCCTTCACAATGCAAGTTTCACAAAATGGTTTCATTTATGGTTAGGAAGAAGTCCAGTCAGCCAGGTGTACTACAACAAATCAACTTGCTTTAACACTTTTGTTTCCCCAGAGTACTTCTTCAAACTCCTTTCCTGTTTCCTACTTGTAACATTTCCTAAGGAGGACATGAAGTAAAAAAAAAAAAAAAAAAGGAAATAAAAAAAGGTCTTACAAAACATTATACAGAAGACAAAGATACTGTTATCTGAAAATCTAGTACACAGAAATTCTTCATTAAAGTAAGATCAATAGCATTTATGATTCAACACATCCCAAAAGGCACAAGTAAAAAAACTGCTACGTTAAGGAAATGGACCTGCAAAGGGGGGCACAGAACTTAAATTTTAGCATTATTTCCCACAACTTCAATAAAACATAAGTTGATATGGAAGCACAACATTTACAAAACACTTGAGGAAATGAAGAAGCTAAACTAGTTAATATTAACTTGCCTATTGTTACTGCCTCTTCTTT